AAATGCACCCATATGAAAGCAAACCATATCCTATTCGAAAGTCCAACGTTACATTTGGTAAGATTGGTTCAAGGGGCTCGTAGTCACTCAATATTACCGCTCAACAAAGTATGATTCTAACTAAGGAGATCACAAAACTGTAGTAGTGCCGCGGTAGTTTATCAGAAAATTAAGGAATTCTGTGTGCCCAATTTTTTTTTCAGGTTAAATAAATAAGTAGTGCTGTTTGCGCGATTCTGAATGAAAACTAAACAAATTTCACACTAGGTCCATGAGAAGCGCCGATGCTTTGAGTTTAATCATCATTGTGTTAGAAAGTGTCAGAATGAAAGCAGCACGAAAAATGAGTAAATCTCTCAGAACCGAACGACGTAAACACGTATGCGGATAATGGGGCACGTTGAAGGATAACAACTGGATTGTGCAACGACAAAGTCTCAAATGAACTTTTGTCCTCAGAGTTCTATTGGGAACTCCTGGGAACAGGTAATCACACAGTTCTTTAGGAAATGGAGGAAAAGGGCAAACTCGTGTACTCGTATACGGTTAGACCCCCGTTTCAATTGTTGAGTTGACAAAGTCGCTGTGACTCAATATTATCTGCAGGTGGTGATTAATCACTTATAAATCCAAGCTTGGAAGTAGATCGTGCATAAAATAAAAAAATAAATAATCTTGTTATCTCATGTGAAACTCCTGTGATAGTGATCAAGAATCACCCATTTCGGCTTCATTGGAAACAACGGGATAGAAAGAATTAAGTAACAGCTAATTAGACCATTGGATAAATGTCAAGAGTAAAGATCCACTGTGGAAAACTCTGCTGTTGGCAAACGTTTATTCCTCACTTTGTACTAGACCATTTCCCAATGAGATGGTACATTTTCCGATTTTATTTTTCCACCACACATCTCATTCAATTTTATCATCCATCAAGGCCGTAGGATAGTCTTTTCTCCTTCAGCGGGTCATCAATTTCAATTCCAAATCGTATTTTCGGTGTTTGTAAAAATGGCTTACTTTGAACATAGCGCAACTAACTAGATCACTTGATGAGTCCCATCTTCACTTCTATTAACTATCATGAAACTAGCTCACTCCGACTGGAGGGATATCACCAAACCGAAAACCAAGAGCGACAGAGAGAGAAGGAACTGAAACTAAGGTTTGTGAAAAGTAAACTCCCTCATCGTTGCTCATTGCAAGTGGAATGAAACGTACACGAGTGGAAAACAGAAAGCAAACGTCTCGGTCGGTCAATCCATCTTGTATTCCGAGATAATCGGGAAAACGGTTGACATTTAGTTGATTAATCAGTTAAGAGTTTATTTTTGAAAAAGCTCAGTTTCTCCATCACAAAGTGTCCTCCCCCAAAGCTTTGTTTCGAACCCGGTAGATAACCCCTTTAATTCGAATAATGATCTACCAGTAGCCGTTGATAGATCGGCTCGCCATCACCTCATCTCCGCAACTCTGATGACGAAGTATGAAATCTAGGAAACTATAATGGAGCTATTTTTGTGGCAAGTACGAGTTCATCAAGAACGTTCACAAAACATTGCGTGTCAGCGGTAAAAAGTGAACAGTCAAACTGAACCAAACGAGTGTGAAAAATATTTAAAGATGAATATCTAATGGAAACAGTTTATTACCAAAAATTCAAAAAAAACATTTGAGAGCGTTTCCCTACTAAATATGGTGATTTTGTCATTTTAGTAATGGGCTGGAGAAGCTAAATGATTTTAGGGGAAACGAATCAAACTTAATTGAAAGATAGCTAAACAAAAGCTATGACCAGAATAATAATAATAAAAATGAAATGATTTTTACTTTTTTTATTCATCACAAATAAACGTCTATTTATGTATTAACATAATGCAATAATATATAATATATCAGTACAATCGTAGAGTCAACATTTGTTAAAGAGGTTTTTGGTCGATTAAAGACTGTCCGCAGTTGGACAACTGAGAAATGAAAGGAATGAGCAGTGTAGTGGCTGAACTCGAGCACACAACCTTTGGGTAGATTTCCTTTTTGTTACAAACGGGAAGGGAAGTTTAAACGAATACTTGGAGTGGGCAAACATATAAGGTTCGAGTCGGATACGTGCGGTATTCAACCAAACAAAAGTAATGCAGCCTATTAAGAATGGCGATCTGTGCCACTTGACTACTTCCGTCTGAACGAACTGGGTACTCGATGCGATGTACAAACGACATTGGGCATAAGAAACGAAAGAATAAAGGTTAACAGGGTAAGATGCTCTAGACACTAAAATTAACAAACACACCGATACATTAACATTTATCTAATTCCACGAGAAAAATAAACTACGAATAAATGCCAAAGCTTCTATCAAATTCACTTATTTCCAGTCACAAAAATAAGGAAAAAATGTCCATGGGTATCGATTTTCGGTAAGACCAAATCGAAGTTAAACTGCCCAGTTCTCAAATGGGATTGGAATGGTTCATTTGTGCTGAGAGAATTTTGGTTTTGGGAAACCAATGCTATTACATCATATCTTGCTAGTTCTGTTCGGTTTTTTATCTGTTGGGTTCACTTTCGAGAAGAAAAAAAGTTCTTTGTAGACTTTCTGTTCACTGGAAATGTACAATTCCTTTCAAACGTATCCGAGCGAGGTTTACGGCAGCCAACAATCAATTGAGTGAAGACGATAACTTGCTTCGGATAGTCAAATGAACCTGGTTTGTTGCCCAATATGTAGTGCTCGGATATTTCTGGCACCGTTCACATCTCGCTCGAAAGCCTTGAACCGTGGAAGAAACATTTCGAAATTTCGAATAATCCTAAAAGAGTGACATAATGTATAGGAATTCAAATGTCATGATTATCTGAAACTGATTGCATTAAAAGAATCGATCATAGATCAGTCTATCTCGTTTGGAGGGTAGTGGAGTCAATCTTTTAAACAAAATCTCCAACCTGATAACTTGCCGGCCAATTTCGACAGACGGTAATACATTTCAAAATTTGTGGTTGTTCACATATCCGAACAGTCGTGAGTACATGCCATATCATGAGAATAAAGTGTTGTGACATTCGCAGTTTATCTCTAGGCATTATCTAACATCTTGAACTTTAACGTTAGTTTCTAGAAATGTCAAGTGCTTCAGACATCCGACAGATGTTGTTTTTCTGTCTCTCGAATCCCATTTGGAAAATATATTAATTCCTAAGATAATGCACTTCTAATAATCTAATCAGTTATTGCTTAAGAACGCAATGCCCTTGTGATGGAAATGTTTATTTTAGAGAGTCACATTGCTTTGTATTAACCTTATAAAAGCTTCCCATGCTTGGTTGTGTGAACTCCACATCGGAAGTATTCAATTTTGTCTAACGTCAAAACTGTTCTGCCAGGCGTGTGTGGGATCAAAGATGAAAGTAATTATTTGGCAGCTGTGATAAAAAACGCATCTGATTCGAACCGACATAAACCAGATTTGACTTGGAAAGCTTTTCCACAACGTGTGTGCATCTTTTCCCACCGTATTTAAGGTATATAAGCGAACGTGAAACCTCGTTGTTTAATAACTGCTCAGAGTGCAACATCAATGTATGTCCGGTGATCCGTCGCATTCAAGATGAACATATCTAACACTTGTTCATTTATGTAATAAACTCCATCATGAACATCACTATCAGTTGGGCGAGTAAGCCTCATCATCGTCCCAGTTATCAGCAGTATCTCAATCTGTAGTGAACAACTTAAAAACCCATTCTGCCAAAGTAAAGAAAACCACAAAAAATGTCACAAATTTGTTTCTCAACGGAGCACGTGCGCTCGCGCATGAACGTGTTTTTGTTGTTCACTTGGTTTGACCCCGCATCGTTTTGTTACCTTTCAAACCATGACATTTTCTATGCTTGACCGTTAAATAACTATTCTGTAAGCCTTGAAAGCAAAGAAAATAAACGCATCTGACCAACTAAATCTTATGTAGATGCGCCCGGTGATTGATCTACGTATATACCGGGAATCGCGTTTATAGGTATAAACAATTGAAACTAGGTGAATTCTTTTTGCAACTGCCAAGTAGAAAACAGTGCTTATTTCCTCTTCGTTCAGTTGCACGTCTTACTACTAACCGTGGACTGTGTGGCTCGGAGGNGGTTAGAGTTTCGGCGTTCGGTTGTTTGAGCCGTTTGAGCCCCCATCGGGACAAAAACAGTATTCACGACGGAACAGTCCTAACAAAGGCGAAGCCTGACATTTGCGAATATCTAAAACAATCCTCAGTTTGAAAAGAGAATGATTATCAATTTTCGGTTATGGGAGTGGAAGTAATAGAACACTTCTTAAACGCTCCTATGTGACGTAAAGGACGATTAGTTTGCACACACTCCTGGTATAACCCACTATCTTTCTATTTTCAGATACATGAGCCCTATCATGTGTAGCTAGATTCCGGAATCAATAATTCATTTACCAGTGAAGTCCGTTCAAACATAATCACTCTGTGAACAGGACCGAGGTATTCCGTTTGTGGTCAACTTTGCAAGGCAGGTGCGCCGTTTAATATTAGCAGCAGCAGAAGCAAACAAAAGTTAGGTTACACAAGCCTCCACTCGCTGCGTACCCAAAAACAATTTGTGCAGGCGCTTACCTCCCTTATCCTATCGTCCACACACCCGAAATCCATAGTTATCTTGATGATCGGATGAATGATCGTAGTGAATCTCATATTCGGTCTCAAAGTGAAACTAATTCAACTAATCTATTAGAAAAGTTATTCTTCTCCCACCACAAGCTTGTCCGTACTTGGTGATAGCATGATTACAAATCACTAAAATCTAGCTTATTTACCACATTTTTTATTAAAGGCTTTCCATTTCCGTTCACCATATCACACATACTTTACACTTTTCAATTATTGGTTTATTTTTACATCAAATGACTAGAAATGCTATGTTTTCTCCCAATTCTATGATTCCCATCATTAAACCGCTGCCACCTAGGAGCAAAAGAGGTCATGGTCAAGACCAGTCACGAGTCTAACGGCAAATGGACGATAGCACGATGGCGTTGTGGTCGAAAACACGGAAACTTCCTGATTTCACTCTATCTCACCGTGAAATGTTGCTATTTGCTCAACGTGATTGGACAAATCTATCTGATGCAATCATTTATCGGTACACAGTATAGTTCCTACGGTGCACGAGTTCTCATAGATCTGATCAAAGGGCGTGAATGGCACCAGTCAGGTCACTTTCCTCGGGTGACATTTTGTGATCTGGAGGCGAAAAAGTTGGGCAAGAATCATGTGTAAGTCCAGACGCGTTCTCCGGTTTACACCTCTATTTTATGTTTCCCGCAGTTTAGTGTACTGTGATTAATACACAAGGCGGTGCTCGGTCGAGGGTAGTTGCCTATTGCAGATAACCGTTATGGTATCATTTATTTAGCATACATATAACAGAAATCTCATTTGAAACATATAATCGCACTTCCTGACAGCACACCGGGTAATGCATGGAGCAGTCGGTAGTTATGCTTTGAGACACACTTTGCCCTGGCTGGTCTCGTTGTATTTTGGTTGTTGAAAGAAACCACCAACTATTTTGCATACTACTCACAAATTTGAATGGTACCTCACGTCACTCCTCCCCGGCGGAAAGGACCTCCGCACGTCTCGACCAATAAACGACTGTTTCTTGGATTTTGATCGCGTTTGTCTCCGGTTTTCAACTTCCGGCAGAGTTCTGCTTGACTTTGTGTAATGGGATTCTGAAGTTTCTTTTGTTGGTTTATATCGTGTGTTGTACATTCTCCCGTGCCGTATTGCGAGATTGTTCCGATGTACACGAAGGACTTCGTTCATTCATTGAATTTTGTACACATGAGGCATGAACCTTTCCATTTGGGAACTAGCTTCCTCGAGCCTCTGGTGAATCCCCCAAAATGCCGCTTATACTTTAGTTTAGATCCAACCGGAGACACACCTGCCGTCCGTCTTGTTTGTATGCTGGGCGTGTGCATTTTGCCCTCCTGCACCTCCCTCAGGTGTTCACGGGCATCACATCTTGTCTGTTGAAGTTGATGGGGAGATAAATCATTTCGCCCAATGCCATCTTTGAGATCCACTGGCAGCTTCGGAATTCTTCTATACATCAGTTGAAATGGACTGTGTTTGGTACTGGCCTGCGTGGACGAACGTTACGCTAAAACCATTACGCTATCAGCCATCTTTTGATTGTTCGGTTATTTCGTTCGTTGGATTTTTGGTGATAGGAAGTTGTGAGTATCTTTTTGATGCCCAATTTCTGTAAGCAAATGCAAAATTCATCACTCCTAAAACACGGTCTTGATCCGTAAGGATGGCTTGCGGTACACCATGATTCGCCACGATATGCTCCATCACTACTCTGCTTATCGTAGCGACTTTCCGATCTGCGACTCCTAAGTCTTCGGTCCAGCGCCTGAAGTGCTCCGTCATTACAGCAATATATTGGTGCCCTCTGAGGGACATCGGCAATCACCCATGAAGTCGATGGACAATAACTCACCGGATATTGGTATTGACTGAATTGGACATTGTGATGGGCGGGAATCTGACTTGAAAAGTTGGCTCCATTCATAGGCCAGCACCTGGTTTGTCACATCACCCTGCGTATTTGGCCAATACGTCCACTGTGGAAGCAGATAGTAGGTTCGAGCGCAGCCGGTGTGTGCTAGTTCGCGATTTTCATTAATAAGGACTTAGAGCAGCTGTTTCGGAATGACGACCACATGGCACTTTCTTCCTCGCTGTCGTTTCATTAGGATACCAGTGGCATTCAAATAAATTTGATTCCATACGGGTTTCTTCATTTGTGTGCTATGTTGCATGTTCCGGTATTGCTGGTCCTGTGAGATTGCTTCAATCACCTGACGGAGTTGTGGATCCGTCACCAATTCGTGCAAATCTTTTTCCACTGTCACCATGCTGACACTGAAGGAATCTGTTTCCTCCTAACAAGACAAAATATCCACCATACAGTTTTCGACACCTACAACATGATTTATCGTGAAGTCGTACTCCTGCAGCTGAAGCGCCCATCGGGATAGTTTTCCTCTC